AAAAAAAAAAAAAAAAAAAAAAAAAAAAAACAAAAAAAAAAAACAAAAACAAAAACAAAATTGTATCCATATGACGCCCTAAGGGCATCTCCACCAATCAACCACCATTATACCACCTTTTAATGTCACGCCAGCATTCCACTATTAATCCCTTTTTTTTACATTTTCTCCTCCAACAACTTTACACTCACTACCCAAATAATCTTGGACCCACAACTACCCCATCAATAATCTTAGAAACAAAAAATAAATAAATTAAAAAAAGTGGCTCACAGTTGCGGCCAAATTGGACAAAGGGCCTCACTTTTTTACCGTTGAAGACAGAAGAAACAGTGTAAAATTTTACACCTTCTCCACCAATAAAGCCAAGCATACTTCTGACATTGAACTGATATTACTCCTTTGTTGGAGTTGCTCTAATATACAATTACTATTAAAATTTGCTTAACCGGCTAAATCACGCCGTATGTTAGAGCATTCAATTACTATTAAAAAATATTGCTTAACCAGCTATTTGGTTTTCTATTTCTTGATGTGATGCCTCGCTACTTCATGATTTCAACCACTATTTATATTGTTTGACCAATTATATTGTTTTTTTTATTTCTTGATGTGATCCATGTAGGTCATTGCATTCAATTACTATCAAAATTGTTAACTTATGATTTTTTTTATTATTTTTTTATTGTTATCGATTTGCGTAAACTAATGACTAAGATGACCTTCTGGGAAGTAATTTGTTGGAAATATATTAGTGGCGTTTTATTTTGAACAACTGCTAATTAAAAATATGCTTGGATCAGATAACAGAGACATGATTTAAGGCTTCATAGACTTGGACAAAGACTTTGTCCGCTGAGTCAATCTTACCTTCTATGTCAGTCTCACTCCATACCGTAATCGCATCCACACCAACGCCACCATAACGTATAAAAGTTACCTCCTCACATCGACCACGAATGGATGAAGGTTCCTGCTGGAACACGCCAACGAGGCGGTCCTTCCCACGGATCGATATCGGATACCAAACACGTACATACATGATTTCGAATAACCTAGGCATGCTCCTAAAGGACGAACAGATAATTACCTTGAAAAGGAGGTGTGATTCGATCTGAGCGACCTTCTAGTATGTGTCCCGACCACGCTTGGACGCCGGAT